ACTGTTAGCGATAGATACTCATGGTCCGCTTCTATTTTCTACCTCGGTTTTATTGCTGGCGCCTATCCTGCTATGATCTTAGCACAGAAGTTTCCCGTGGAAAAGGTCGCGTCAGTCATAGTCACTCTTTGGGGATTGTGCCTCATCTTGACTACATCATGCTCAGACTACCGTGGCTTGTACGTTCAGCGATTTTGCCTTGGTTTGCTGGAATCCGGGATCTCCCCTATGTTCATGTTGATCGTTGGGAGCTTTTACAAGAAGAATGAACAGGCAATGCGCATGGGGTAAGCAAACTACGGAACTGCAGGCAATATTCATCTTTGGGTAACTAATCTAGTGAGTAGCATTTGGTACAGTTGCACTGGATACGTTTCTATCTTCTCTCCTCTTATTAACTATGGATTTGGCAAGCTTAACGGAGGCGTCTCTTCTTGGAGATATATGTTTTACTTTGCTGGCTCCCTGACTATTGCCTGGGGTCTTCTTCTCTACTTCCTCCTGCCTGCCGACCCCATTAGAGCTAAAGGCTTTAGCGAAAGAGAGCGTTACATACTTGTTGCCCGCCTCAGGAGTAACAACTCTGGTGTGCGAAACACCCACTACAAGATGGATCAAGTTGGGGAGCTCGCGCTAGATATGAAGTTCTGGCTTGTATTTGCGGTGGCATTTCTTTGCATGATTGCAAATGGTCCTATATCGACTTTTGTCCCTATCATCATCAACGGCTTTGGATTCAGTACTCTTAATTCGCTCCTGCTTACGATGCCTGCAGGTGCATATGGAGGTACGGTGCAACTGGTCATGCCATACGTTGCATATAAATTCAAGAATTTTCGGACATGGGTTATCTTTGGGGCACAACTAGGGACCACATTGGCGGCCATTCTACTCTGGCTTCTACCCAGATCAGCCAAGGGTGGTTTGCTGTTTGCTGCATATATATTGCCGTCTGTTGGAGGTGGCTATGCGGTGCTCATGGGTCTTCAAATTGCAAATACAGCTGGCTACACCAAGCGATCCATTGCTTCATCTGGTTTGTATATTGGGTACTGTCTAGGTAAGAGTGCAGTTGTAACTTAATTTAGCTGTCTTGCTCATGTCAGTCACAGGTAACTTCGTTGGTCCACTCGTCTTCCGGAAGCAAGATGCACCGGAGTATGCTTTCGGTTTCATTGTGGTTGTCATCACGTCCCTGGCCGCAGGTATTCTTTGTCTGGTTTATCGCTTCCATTGTGTGTGGCAGAACAAGCGGCGGGACCGGGGTGGCACGATGGAGGGATTCGATCACGCCTATGACGATGATCTGACAGACATCAAGGTTGGTAAAACTCCTCTCTGCGGGTGTGTTTTATACTCACCGGAAAGTAGAATCCACAGTTCCGGTATATTCTCTGAAGTAAGTCAGAAGGATTAGCAGGCTCAACACAGATTATGTCTATAATCGTAAGATGCATGCGGCTTCTAGAGTATGCAATTTTGAACTGAGCAACCTTACTTATGGTCCTTGATCTGGCTCCTAGCTTGCAGATTTAATAGATTGAGATTAATGATACATATGCGCTGTGCATTAGTTATAGGAGCATAAATATACTTTATCAAAGTTTGCAAACCGTATTCAGAAACAAGACGCTCCGTCCTTCTAACAACCGCCAATGCCCAGATCATCACTTTGCTCCTATAAGCACTACAAAGGCATTGCTATTGCGCGATTGCCATTGCGCGAGTTAGTTTGTGTGTTGCCTGCAAGGCTTCTTAGTGCAGCATTCCACCCGTCCTTACCGAAATCCCCAGTATCCGGCAAAACAGACCTCCCACCCCGCCTCACACACATGGCGCACATACGTGCCCAGATTTATCTACCCCGCATTTCCTTGTTCTTGGCCTACATCCTTTTCTCCCCTTCCATTTGCAACGCAACCGCATTCCGCCTTCCTACCATCATACTTCTCATTTCCAATATCATTCTAACTCCCTTAATAACGCTGAAGAGCAGAGAGTTCTGAACTGCGTTTTTGCCCTGCGAGAAATCATCTTCACTGCCGTGAATTTTCCTATTAATCATCTGAAGGATGCCGGATATGGTTAGCGATTGGCTCCCTTTTGATGCGACGCAACCAAAGCGACGACGCGCTGAGCTGGTTTGCATTATCTGCCACAAGAAAAAGGTCAAATGTGACCTCCAGGTCAGTGTGCATCACCCTAAGACCCGGGAAGCCCATTTTGATATATAGGTGCAGGCTAGAACATCGGAGGGGCACCAGAGCTGCACGAATTGTGATATTTCTGAAAAGGACTGCCACTTACGGCCATCTAAACGCACCAAACGACTACGTTCGAGACTGAGACACAAACACGGACCAACACCTCCTGCCGCGTCAGCATCTGGGGACGAGGGGATCACTTCAAATGCACATGCGATCATGGACAACATTCAAGTATCATCGGCAGACTTCGATGAAATCATCCCTCCCACCCCGTCGATCCCCACTGAGCCTCACGGTCATTCTCAACATTCAGATCATCATCTTCCTGAGCCATCCCCGCGTAGACACTCAGCATCCAATGTAAGGTCCCATGGTGGACTCGCTGTGCTATCACCAACGCAGAGGTCTCCCAGCAGTGATACTCGAACGGAAGGGTTAGCAGAGAGTCATACTGGTGACATTGACACCGGATTTCTTCAGGTGTATGCCCCTGAGAACCAATCCAATGCTCAAAAGCAGGCTCTCGAGGCATGTCTCGAACAGAGGTATAACTTCTCTAGCGCGCACGAGCAAGATCTACAAGAAAGCTTCGCAGAAACGTATTGGGAATACTGCTACTCGTGGTGTCCGGTTCTTGATCCTGAAACCCTCGCTAGCGATATTGCTCGCTCTCCATTACTTGCAAACGCTCTCGCAACTGCCTCCAGCAATATTCAACCTCCTCTTGTTCCTCATGAGGGGCCTACCGAGTATTATAAAAAGGCGAGGACTATTTTCTATGAGGACGAGGAGTCGGACGGCTTAACGACGCTGATGGGTTTATCACTCTTCTACTGGTTTGCCCCAAAGCCACCGAGTACAGTGCACCGACACTCATCCTGGTGGTGGACCTCCGTCATTATTCGTCATGCACAGCAAATGAACCTTCATCGAGAGCCGGCGTCTGAACATATATCGGGCAGCAATCTAAAGCTAGGGCTTCGCCGGAGGATATGGTGGACTGCTTTCGTCAGTTTCTCCCAACTGCTCGCAAGCTGAAATAACTTGCTAACAAGTGATCACGCAGGCAAGGGAACGACTGACCGCCCTCTGCCAAAGCAAGCCGGCAATCATAGATCCAGATGACTGTAATATCGGAGAGCCATTGCTGTCCGATTTCCCCAGCGACCCTATTCATCAGCGAAAAGGAGAAATATTTATTCACTGGGTTCGCTTGTGTGTCATAATTGGCAAGGTCGCAAAAGCTCTGTCTCGGTCATCAATTCCGACAGCAACTACTGCAACCCCAGATCAACACAGACAGGAACTTGTTGATTGGGTGAACTCTCTACCGCCGTACCTACGACTACCTATCGGATCGACTCACACCCACAAGTTTGACAGAGACGTACATCAACTTTACTTGCCCTATCTGACAACAGTCATTGTTCTCCATCTCAAACGTTCAGCCAATACCTTGCCCGAAGCACTGCCGCCGGCTATCCTGGCGGCATCGTGTATTGCCAGAATACTTCGAGACATCCTATCTCGAGGCAACACGCGTTTCTTAATGGCAATCACTTGTTGGTACTGCGGGACAGCCTTCATACCGTTGTTACAAGCCTGCCGTGTCAGAAATTTAGCTCAAGATGCAAACGATTGTCTTGATATTCTTGAGCGTGCAGCAGATCAGCTCCAGCTCATGTGGGGCTCTGCAAATGTGATTAGACAAGGGTTCGAAAGATTGAGAAGCACGGCAAATACACCAGCCAGGGCTGGTGAGACCTTGGACCCCCCTTCAGCTACCGAACACTCTAGAACCTACGCAGATAGGTTGTCTAGAGATGAAAACGACATTTTTGACTGGACGGCTTTGTTCCCGTTCGCCACAAGAGACACAGGTGGGATCGCCGACTGTCTATTGACCGGCAAAGAGCATGGGACTGCCGTAGGGGTATGTTCCTCGCCTGATGTTTTCATGTTTCACGAGACATTGGCCAATCAGTTTGGGGATCTTTTTGAATCTTTCATGGATTACCGCTTGGATTTCATGGTTCCGGGGTGAGACCCGGGCCATCAAGATGCGCCGTGCAGTACAAATTGAATACATTGTCGATATCCACGCGCGAAACCTATCATTCAGCTCATAAATCTAGGAAAACAATAAATGCACTGGACTGAAATCGGCTCAATTTTATAAATCCTTCATGAGGCGCAAGCGTCAGGGACTTTGTCCGCCTTCTCCACATACCATGATAGATCGTTCTTGGGGTCCATTTCCCACGCCGTGAAACCATTACCCATGAATCTAAATGGATTTGATGTGCGATAGCAAATATTGAAGTCTTCGGCTCGAATGCCATTCAACATCCGGTTGAAGAGGTGTGCGCTCCCTCCAAACAGTGCCGTGACTCGTCCATCGACGCGGTTCCTTTTGTACCAACTTTTGCATCCACCACTCCAAACAAGAGTTTTATGGACCTGATCGCTGTACCTGATGAAGGCGTCCACAACTTCCTGCTTTGGCTCGACATACTTTATATCCTCAGTTGCCATTTTCTTGATCCACTTGATAAAGTAATCTCCAGTCCAGTTGAGAGACTCGACCAAGGAACCATGGCCGCCAAGACAATTGGGTCCCATCATCATGAAGTAGTTGGGATAGTCGGGGATAGCTACCGATATATACGAATCAGGGTCATCAGCCCATCTCGTAGCTAAGTCCACCTTCTTCTTTCCAACAATCGGATACCTTGGGCGATGAGAAACGTCAAACCCAGTGGCACAGACGACTAAACAATTTGTAAGCAACTTCTATAAATCGAAGGAAGGGAGACACTTACTGACGTCGCACTCGTAGAGCTTGCCGTCAGCGGTATGGACACCCTTCTTGGAAATATTGGTAATAGGGCTGTTGGTAACATTGCAGTTGGGCTGTAAGAAAGACTCCAAATAGCCGGGCCCAGGGGTGATTCGACGGCATCCCAACTCCCATTTGGGAATGAGCATATCGCATAGCTTGGAATCATGACCGAGCTTCTCGGCCATTTGGGCAGCTGCCAATTTCATTCCCTCCTCGTTATTTTTGCCCTTCATGAAGATGTGGAATGACTTGTTCGTCCTTGAGATAATGCCTTTCCTGTGTTGAAGATGATAGTCGGGGTCCTGAAACATCTCTCTCTCAGCGTCTGTATACTTTGGGTTTGGGTCAGAATCGTCCCGACCGAGATGCTTTGATGGAGGAGCGCGGTAGTAAACCCAAGCCTGACCACGAATGAAGTTCACGACATCGGTTCCAGGTAGCTTCTGCATCTGCGGAACGATCTGGATTCCAGATGACCCATTGCCAATCACGGCAACTTTCCTGTTGGAATAGTCGTAGTTATGATCCCAAAGGGCAGAGTGTGTGATGTGGCCTTCAAAATCTCTCAGGCCAGGGATGTCTGGCCATGATCCATGCACCAAGACGCCTTGCGCAGAAATGAGAACATGGCAGTGCTCTTCGCGCTGTTTCCCTTCATGCTCTACAGTGACCTTCCACTGGCCTTTGGCTTCCTGCCATTGAGCGCCGATAACCCGCGTATTCAGCTGCAGGTCACGGTCAAGGTTCCATTTTCTCACAGTGCTCTTGATATATTCAAGGATTTCAGGCCCACTGGCGTAGAACCGACTCCAGTTCGGGTTGGGGTCAAAGGGAAATGCCTGCACGGATGTTAACAATATCGTGATTAGGGGGTAAAATGCCATGCCTCACGTAGATGTGGGCCGGAACGTCACATTGAACGCCGGGATAGTTGTTGATAAACCAGGTTCCTCCGACCTCACTATGGGCCTCGAAAATAGTATGTTCGACAATGTCTCGCATTTCCGGAAATCTGTGCTGAAACTTGTGGGCCATGAGAAGCCCCGAAAATCCAGCACCGATAGTGAAGACTTTCATCTTGTGCGGAGTGTAGGCGAACTTAGAATCAAGATTGAATGGGTCCTCTGAGATGCCACTTAACTCGCTCATAGCAGCGCTTGGGAATACAGCGCCGTCATTGAGAATCTCTGGAAGCTCTGCGGATGGCATACGCGCAACGCCATCATTGATATGCGGCGTTGTGACAAGCCCTGGGCTGACCGCGGCTGTTACAGGTGCCTGGACAGAGGCAGTCATGATGGGACAGGTTGACGTGAAAGTGTGTAAGTATCCGGAATGCGGATTTTAAGCAAAGAATATCCCTGGGTAGAAAGCTGATTTGCGCAGCCAGAGACTCAGTAAAATCAACTTGGGCTAATTGTTGTCTTTATGCTGATGAGGCAATGATGAAACTTTTGAGATAGAACAGCGAAGAAAATCGCCATTCAGCCCCACAATACACCAATACGTGCTGCAGCGTTTTATGACATAGCAATATTTCATTCAATCATCGCCTGCGGGGGAGGCCTGGCTGTCGTCAAGAAAAGGAAAACGAGTTCAGTTGGCTGGACATTTTAGGGTTACCGGCATTGCAACCCAATCCCAAAGTTTGCTGAACCTGTGCACCAACGACAGCAGTAGTCTACCTGCAGACTTTGAATATCATGATCGGTTATCCCAAAATGGAATCCCAGCTCAAAGCCGGCTTCGGGCGGGGACAGCTCGGCTAACCCCGCTTACCTCCTATGATCCCGGGAAGAGTTGGGCCGAAGCTCACCAATGTGATGACGAGGCCGTATACAGAAATGCCCGCATCACCAGGACTACTAATTCGATCCCGCTGTGATACAATTAATAGTCGTTGATCGACTCGCGTGGAGTGGGAAGCTCTCGGTAGTAATCAACCTCAGGATCTCTTATCTTACATTTCAACGGAATATTCAGCCATAACAATGCCTCTGCCACGATATACATACACCGGCCCCACCGACCACACTATCATCCCTGACCGTAGCAGTGTCAAGGGTAAATCAGTCATCATCACCGGCGGTGCGAATGGCATGGGAGAGGCGTGCGTGCGTGCGTTTGTTGCAGCTGGTGCATTTGTTACATTTGGTGATGTAAACTTGAGGGGCGAGGTTATTAAAGAAGAGTTGAACGCTAATGCCGAGTGTTCTGCTTTTGTGAAGTGCGACATCAGGGACTGGGACCAGCAAAAGCAATTGTTTGAAACGGCAAAGAGCCGAAGCCCTGAAAGAAGCATAGACATTGTGATCGCTAATGCTGGGATCAGTCGGAGTTCTGGCGACAGTCTTTGGAACCTAGAAGATCCCAACGAACAGCCAACGAAGCCAGATCTCAACATCGTAAATGTCAATCTCTTGGGGTCTTTGTACACCTGGAAGCTTGCAGTTCACTACTTCAGAATGCAGCCAGATACCGAGGAGCGGGACAGATGTTTCATCATCACGGGCAGCATGGTGGGCTGGATAGATTCTCCTGGTAATTGGGAGTACACAGCAACAAAGTACGGGCTTCATGGCTTTATGAGAACCGTGAGACGCTCCAGCTGGGAACAAGGCATCAGAATCACCTACGTTGCCCCCTGCTGGATCAGAAGCGCGATTCGGACTGCCGACTATGAAAAGTGGTTGATCGATCATGGAGTCGAATTTGGCGAACAGGAAGACGTTGCAAACTGCATGATGAGAGTTGCCTGCGACAAAACCATCAACGGTAAGTGTAATTGATCATTTGAAGATTTCCATCTCAGCTTCTAATAGCAGTAGGGCGTTCTTTAATGATAACTCCTCGATCAATTGCGAAAGAGGGTTACATGGACATCGACCGGGATGACTACAAGGATGTTCCCGAGGACAGCTATCTGAAAAGACTTCAAGAGTCTCAGCTGATCATCATTGAAGACCAGTGGAGAGATAATTACAACGTGAGAATCTACAAAGATTAAGGATTCACATGCCACAATTGAAAATCCAAATTTGAACTCTCTATTGGAAGCAAAACCGACCGTTACATAACATTCTTAGATGTTATGTTCAAAGATATACACAGCTACATTTTTTTCCAAGGCTGTTCTTCAGGAGATGTGCTAGCGCTTTACGTAAAGTTTTAGAGCCTACTACATGGTTAATATTGGACGTAACGCTACAGTCCTCAACGGGTGTTGCATCACGCTACTCTAAGTCTTCAATAAGCGCGTGGGTTGAGGTTATCATAACATTATCACCAGCAGTTACTTCTTACTCTTAGTCCACTTTTAAATTATCGATCCTCACATACATGAGTTTCCTCAAAGTGACTAGCACCTTGATTTAGAAAAGGGTCAAAGAAATATGCGTTCATGACATGCGTGTCAAACGTCTTCATCTTTATAATACCAAACCCAAGTCTTTTATTTCCACACGGACCTCTAGTCATCTTCATGACCTATTAACACACCCCAGGCGCTCTTGATCGCTGGATCTTTCAAACCCTTAGTTTCCCCCTTCAGTAGCCAGATATCATGATTCTTATGAGCATCTTCCCAGCCACTGCGATCTTTATCCTTGTGCTCTACTCTAATATCACTGCCCATAGCTCCCCACATGCCCAACTTGTCACGATAGCGCCATTGGACGACTGGTGGAGGCCAAATGCTATACGCTCGTAGCTGATCACTCTTGATCATGTCGTTCATAATCACGTCGACCGGAAGGTTGAGGTCAAATCCACTTCGCAGCAAAAGTTTGGCGGCACCTCGAGCACTCACAGCATACGCGCCGGTACAAGCCATGCCGCCAGCTCTGCGCAACATGCGACGGCCACCTTTGACACCCACTCCATGCCATTCTCCATGCTCTCCACTTGTGTATGGATCGTCGTATTTGACCTTCTCTGATTTCCACTGATCGCCGTCAGCGCAGTGGCCGAAGGTAATCAAATCCCACATGTTGCTGTGCCACGGATCTACCTGAGCCTGTTCCTCGGAGCTTCGCGTCGGGTTAAGGCCAAGCAGCCCAGTTCCATTCAAAAGACCTGGCAAATGGGATGCTGCGAGGCGCATGACGTCTTTGATATGGATGTCCCAGGTGACGTCGTCTTCCATGATCAAGACAGTGTCCACGTCTGTGTGCAGCAGACCTCTCCATACCTAACAAATCACATGTCAGCAGGTATGGCATGAGTTTCATACAGCCAGGGGTTCGCACATTTGCGTGAGATCGCCAACATCCCTTTTCGCCAGCCGATAAAGCCTGGCCAGGTTCAATATCGGGGATACTGCTGGGCGGTAGTCCAACTTCTCCTAGTCGACTCCCGTTGACCCCTTCAACGATCTGGATGTCAATATTCGATAGGAAACTTTGGACAGTGGCGGCATCGGCTTTGTCTTGTCGAATTGGTAGACTGATCATCTTGATGGAGCCAAAGCCCAGAGTGCGGTTGGCTGCAGCGCTCACGGCGAGGACAATCGGCGGCTGCGATCCTGTTTTGGCAGCGGAGACGAGAATAATAACAAATAAAGTTGCAAGACCTGCTAGAAATAAGCGCCGGTTGCTGAATAAACGGGTGGGAATATGTTCTCTCATAGTCTTGAAAATGTTGCGGTCGAGGAAGGCCGGTCTTTGGGATTCGTAGACAGGTCTGAGAGATGACTGTGACGCCGAAGACAAACGAGGAAGATCTTCAGACTCCTTCGAACCGGCCCACGGGCTTGCTCGAGACATTCTCGATTCGGTAGACTCGATTTTTACGTTTTCGGCTCGAGATTGTTGATGGGGTCAGTTCATGAGATATGAGGGACGTTGCCAGGGCGCCTACTGTTCGTGTCAATGTGACCGGATAAAAAAGAGGAAACACAATCGAAAAATCAGAAAGTAGAGGAATTTGCGTCTCAAGGCTTTCAGGACACCAGGACGACGTCTTGTCCCACGTAATCAAACTATGTAACTAGCAAAGCCTGCCTTCCTATTTGCTAATAACGCGGAAGACCATGACAGGCCAAACGGGAGGGTGCATGAGAGGCGTTGGGCATGTACTACATCTGTCAGGATAATTGGATCAGCTTCTCGGGATTACAGGCCAGTTACCCCTTAGGATTGTGTGCCCGACATATCCCCCCAGCCTCAGCTGCAAAGACCTTCAATTTGCCCTAGGCCTGCATCGCCTCGTACCATGCGACGAAGCTGCTGTGGTTAGGTACGAGAAGGAGCCAGCGGCTAGAACATTGCGTTCTGGACCCTTCGCAGGGGCAGTCTTTTGATATGTCACGCGTGGGTTTCGACAAGTTCAGGCTGTGGGTGAAGCTTATCTTCGAATCTAAGCTGCGTGGATCCGCCCTATGTGATCGGGCAACGGCTGTGGATACGACGACAGGGTTTGAGGTTACTGCAAAGTCTTCCGATTTGGTAGCTCTCGGAATTGAGCCGAATGCGGCTGCCTGCAGCACTGCCACAGAGGCCCTGTCTGGAACATTATCGGTAAAAGGCTGGGTAGAGAAAATCAAAAGCCTTGTCATTGCCACAGCATCCAGGCGAAGACCTCACATACGGTCGTGGGGCCGATCACGTTACGGATACGTGCCGCGTTTACAGTGATTGGTCGCAGCTGCCATATAAGTAGACACGGAGAAATGTACGATTTCTTTCATGGGACTGGAGCCAAGAGTGTGGTGGACAGCGGACAAGGTGACTTGTATGATGGATGTCCAGAATGCAGTTACACGCATAAAAGATCAATCGTTAAGGTCTCTTGCTTTCTCCCATGTTGCAAATCCACCGGACTGTTCTGTCAGTGCAACGCAAATCGGGTGCGCCAGCACACATGCGAATGGACTATGTTTATTGTCATGTCAGCATCTTCCACGAAGGACACGAGACCATGCAACTTTTGACAACAGATGTTCAAGTACTCCGTAACCCTAGAACCACTAAAAGGACCACGTGGGCCGCAGAGATTACCAAAAGTTCCCCAACACGAGCTCCGCCATCCGAGGATGGTCAAGAACGACTGTGCTTATCCGTCGAGCGCGCGCCAACTGAAGGGCTTAATTTCCAAACGCCATTCACGGTGAATTGCTGTGGACTGGTAACTCTTTAAGCATTTTTCACGGATAGAGTATTTTGCATGATGCGCTAGACACATGGGACAGGTATAGCATGAAGACTACTTAAATGAAAAGCAGCTCCTAACGCTGCAGGCCCGCATCATTACATGCATATCAATAATCGCAAGACCACCGTGCTGAATGCAAGACCTATTTGACTGCGAGCCTCGGCGTGGCCACCCGAAGTGCCGGGTTGCCGGCCCACCTTGGCGCCGCGCCGAGCGCCGGTCGGAGCAGCCCCGTGGAAAGTTCAGCCACGCGTCATCCAAAGGGCCAAGTGCCACGATGAAGTCATCATGGAGCAAAGCCTTTTCAAGCTGACGCGTTGCCGCACCAATTTTTGGCCATCCCAACGACACGTATAAGACGGACTGCAACGAGACAGTATCGCTAGCCGTAGATTTGATAGTGCGACAAGTAGTGTAAGTTTCTTCATCACCTCAGTTCACCTTGCGGTGCAATCAAGAAGACGTTTCTGCCGAATCTTTTCGTTTGTTTGTTCCGACGATCCTTTTTTGTGTTGTCTGTCTCACGGTAGGAGATCACCAAGGTGTGAGAACCAGCCTGCCTCTGAAAATTTAAAGCCTTGGGCAGTACAATGGTAAGATTCTGTCGAAAATGCATCTTACAAAGATCACGTCTGACGTCAAGTCGCAGGCATATGGGCGCGGAAGACGACTCGCAACCGGTGCGATCATCGGCATAGCGATTGCGGGCTTCATCTTGGTTGCTTTTTGTGTGCTATGCTGCTATTGCTGCTGCTTCAGGAAGAAACGCCAACCGCGCCAGCAAACTGTCGGCGGAAAGACCAGCATGTTCTCGCGATTCACACCTGGAAAGGGCCGCGGCGGCGGCCCGCAGATGATGGAGTCTGGACACGGACAAGGCTACGAGCATGGGTATCACCATAACATTGCGCAACCCCAACCCGCTTACAATTACCGATGATAAAGATTTTCAAGCCAATTTTGAGATGGCACTCCTGAGAATTAGAGAACATCATATGAACAGCATTGACAGGAGGGAAAGTCTCAACATTGGTCACGTAGGCTCATCAACGGCGATCGTAATCGAGTCGGCCAGGGAAAATTGAGATGTATACTCAGATGAGTTACTTGATTTTACATTAGAAACTACTCATATCCAAGCGATATGTGGCGTGAGTATGATTAAATATGCTCCGTTTCGTGGGCCTGCTTCTGCTCAACAGCTTCAACTCTGCGTTCGAGATCGTGAGTCTCGACGGTGCTGCGATCCATGGTAGGAACAAAGAGAGGAGCTTCCGTGAAAAGGTATCTCATCTCCTCCAAAGGACGTTTCGCGGTCTCAGGGAGAAAGCACCAGAAGAAAACAGCGTTCGTAAAATTGCATACCTGCGAATAGCAATATCAGCTTTCCGTGTTTAAAGTAGAGGTTGGTTGCGTGGCTTACAATGAAGAGAATGTACCACCGCCAGCCGATGCCGCTCTTGTCGTCCAGCGCCACTGAGGTGGTCTGCCCAATAAGAGTGTTGAAAGCAAAGGAGGTCATGGTAGCGATCGAGACACCCTTGGAGCGAGTCTTCATGTCGAAGATCTCGGCAGGGATGATCCAAGAAAGGGGTCCACAAGTAGCACTGAAGCTGAAGTTGTACAGCCAGGTCATGGCAATGAATCCCCAGGCGGCACCTCCAGTAGCATGTTCAGAACCAGGGGGAAACTTGGCTAGTAGGATTGTGGCGATGATGAAGGTGATGCAATTGCCAAGATTACCGAAGATCAGAGGCCATCGGCGACCGGTCCTGTCGACAAGCATCATACAGAGGAATTGAGCGACGAGGGCAATGACAGATGATATGGCCTGGTAGCGGAGGGTCTCGTCACCGGCAATTCCAATCTTCTCGTAAATCGCGACCGAATAGTATTGGATGGCACTAGAGATCTGGTCAGCACTAAGCTTCAAGTGGCTGCTTAACTCGCGGAGAGACCTACCTAACACCAGTCATTTGAATCGATGCTTGAAGAGCGCAAGCTAGGAACAGGCGACGGAAGCAAGACTTGTCAGTAAACAGTTCCTTGTACGACTTGGCTGATCCCTCATGCTCAGTGGCAATGGACTCTTGAATCTGGTCAAACTCGGCGCGGACCCAGGCATCGTTTACATCACCATGAGCGTGCAGCTTGGCCAAAGTCTGGAGACCCTCGTCCACACGGCCGTGATCGATGAGCCAACGAGGTGACTCGGGGAAGAATAAGATCAGCAGGGCCAGAATACCACCAGGGATACATTGGATGCCAAGACTGACGCGCCATTGGTTGTTATCCGTAGGTGCAAACCCGATGTACGTCCCGTATGAGATCCAAGCAGCAGCCAGAGCACCAACTCCAAGCATGAACTGTTGCAAAGCTGTGACTCGTCCACGGATACTGGGGTGGCAAAGCTCGGCCTGGTAGAGGGGAATGATCATGGTCAAGAAACCGATACTGTGAAGAGAACGGTCAGCAGTTGTATCGCATACGCTACAGTGGAATGTTGAACTCACCCGACACCAGCCAGAGCACGGCCAGCATAGAGATAACCGAGATTTTGGGCAGCGGCCTGGAAAGCACCGCCGAGAACGAAGATGGCACCACCGATGAGAATAGTCATCTTACGGCCGAGCTTATCACCGGCCGGACCGGCGCAGCCGGCGCCGATGAAAGCTCCTCCGGTGAAACATGACACAACGGCACCACTTGGACAATGTCAGCTCAAGTCATTTGAGAGAGTGGCTGTCGGAATGTCGCATACATTTCCTTAGGGTCATCCCCGAATTTGGTCTTGAACGACTGCGAAGCAATTGCGGATGCAATAACACCTAAATCGTAACCGTAGTTGAGAGAACCGAGCGATGCGAAGACGCTCACGAGGAACTGATACCACTTGGGAGGGAGAGCCATGTTGGGCTGGGTGCTGCTGAGCAGAGAAGAGCAGTTTCTAATCGCTTGCCAATGCCCGCAAGGCTTGTCCACGAGATGTCAGATTGAAAGATTTCTGATCACGGCGGGGTACATTTGATGGTCACAACCGAACCGACTCATCAAACTGCAACGAAGCCTCGAGCTGAAGCCGGAGAAGGGATCGTCGCGTCTTTATAGGAAGTTCGAGTGACCGGATGGGAACATGGGGTATGAAGCCGTGGTTTGCTTAGCGCAAACAATGGACGGGCAGGCGAGTGAGGACCCCTGGCTTTATTCGCGTTTCCGCGTGCTGCAAACCCGTGGTGAGACCGCATCGGTGACGGTTGCCCCGGCCCTAGACCCCATGCCCCAGGTTACGCTGGGATTTGGAGTCGCGCCAGTTTGCTGCTGTGTGGCGGCCGATTCTCCAATCCCCACACTTTTTGGGCACGCGGCACGCGGGGAAAGTTGCCAGGATGAGGTTGTGGTATGGGTGGGACGGGCCTGTTGTTCGGTTCATCAACACCGACGATGAACTCAGGTGCATCTTTTCAACCATCCGACAGATCGATGGAAAGCGACGGCCTCAGTTGTTGCGATAAATCCTGGTTTTTTTTTTCCTTCTTTTTTTTTTTTGGAGTATTATGAGGCCCGATGTTTTTATGCCGTCATGTTTGGGGGTTATGAAATTCTGTTGGTTCCAAGGTGTTCGCGAACGGAAAAGATCATCTCGCGCCATCATTACTCAGATCCACAGAGTTCACAGTTTCGTTCCTCATATTCGGACGTGCAGATACACTCTACACATAGGCTCGTAGGGGCTCTGCGAAGCATACGCGCAAAACTCATATGGCTCAATCACTTCGGCAAAAGCTGCTGTTTTGCTTCGCTCTATTGCGACAGGACTGTCTGCCCACAAGAGATTGGAGGAGAATCAAGCTTCATTGATGTTAGCTTCATGCCGTATGCGCCCCAATCATCACCCTGCACTGGCCTGTCGAAACCCCACACTTGGCCTTCCCTCTCCAGCCTCCTCAATCGGCCCCCTCTCGACCGTTTCCGAGACAAGCCTCTTTCTGTTGATAGCTTAATTCCATCACCCTTGGCATTTGGCATCCCATGCTCATCCGCCAAGTTAGGACGCGCGCCTGAAACGGGTTGTGAACTGATCAAGTTTAGCAAATAACATTCGGCCGCAGTCATGGATCCCAGCGAGAAAGCGGAAGAGACAACATGGTTACTCTGGTGGAAGACATGGATGCCGGCCACACACTTCATCGACAGACCAATCTATGTCTCTTGAAGCCCACTTCCCCACTTTGAGACCATGCACCCGCGTTGTTATCGACTTTCTCCGCATGGTATCGTCTATGATTCGTGCGCCTGTTCCATCACTTCCAATGTCTAGAGCCGCGCTCTCCTTTCCTCACCACTGGATCACTTTGCCGAGGATTCAGTGTGGGTCGGGCCCACCCCGCTCACTCCAGGCCCGTCTTCAAGGAGCGCGAACGTCGCTGGAATAGATCCGAGAACTGCGTGGTCTGACGGCTGATGCGCAATCCCTTCACTGCCGGCCCAATATCCTGCTCTGCTGCTTTTCTGCCGTTGGCTTCCGTGACCCTGTTGCTTCACCGCTTGCCCCCGCCCTGGCGACTTCATATTCGGCCTCGATCCGGAACCGTCAGGTAAACAGGCCACGTTCATTTCCACCACTCATCGGACGGCTACTCTTTTGTGCATAAAGTTCTCAGCTAGAGTGAGGAACATTGGTGCGCTCACAAAAGTACACGGTTCGGATCAAACACACCATTTGGCGCAATCATGGCTACCTTCACCAAGATCGCAGAGGATGCCCGCCCTAGCATCTCTGTGAATCCCAACCACCCAATCGCGCGCATTGATGACAACACTTACGGCGGCTTCACAGAGTAAGCATGGCTACTGCGCCGCTCCCTCCCGCAAATCCGAACTTCAAGTTTTATTGATACATGCGCCACAGGCACATGGGACGCTGCATCTACGGTGGCATTTACGACCCCGGCAACCCACTCTCCGATGAGAATGGCTTCCGCAAGGATGTCATTGAAGCTGTGAAGGAGCTGAACTGCCCTGTCATGCGTTATCCCGGCGGCAACTTTTGCGCCACTTACCACTGGATTGATGGCGTTGGACCCAAAGAGAAACGTCCTAAGAGGTATGCGAAATCCCCTTTCCATAGAGTTTCCCCAGCCCCGGGTTCTCAACACGGAAAGCATTGGATCGTAGAGAGTTGGTGTGCAACGGTGGCTAATGTTGAATTGACGTTAGGCCTGAGTTGGCTTGGATCGGCGTCGAGTCTAATGAGTTCGGAACGGACGAGTTCATGAAGTGGTGCGAGGTCGTTGGCGCAGAGCCCTACCTGGCTCTCAACTTTGGTACTGGCACGCTAGACGAGGGTACGTCAATCTTCCACTTTGCGACTTTCGGTTTCGGCAATGGGTTGCTAAAAGCGAGTCAACTGTGCAGCGCTCGCGTGGCTTGAGTATTGCAACTCCGACAGGGACACATACTACGCCAACCTACGGCGTCAAAACGGCCGTGAAAAGCCTTACAATGTGAGTAAACCACATTAGTTATGCAAGAGCAGCACTCTTAATTAAATTCTAGGTTAAGTACTGGGCACTGGGCAATGAGATGTGGGGTCCCTGGCAGGTTGGCCAAATGACCAAGGAGGATTACGCCAAGCAGGCCTACCAATGGGCCAAAGCTATGAAGCTCCTCGATCCCTCGATCGAGCTGATTCTCTGTGGTGAAACTGGCTTCAGCAGCTGGGACACGTATGTCATCAAGGAGTGCATCACGTGGAGCATGCACGGCCTTGGCGGTAGCACTACTGCGTCGTTGATTGACATGCACAGTATTCACCTTTACACTGCTTCAAACGACCATCTCAAGAATGCTACTGCTCCACGAGCTGCGGAGCGCGCCATCGAAATCACAGGAGGCCTCATCGACTTAGCCCGTATTGAAAACAAAGTTCCCCCGACATGCAAGAGACAGAAGATCTGCTTCGATGAGTGGAACGTATGGGATCCTGTCCGAGCTCCGGGTGAAGAGGGCGGTGAGGAGTCGTAAGTCGGAGATCCCGTCGCGAATATGTGCCGTCATTAACACGGAATTCAGTTACACGCTGTCGGATGCCCTAGCTGTTGGTGTCTGGCTGAATGTGTTTGTGCGTCAAGCCAAGTACATTGGTATGGCCAACATCGCCCAGTCCGTCAACGTCATATCGCCGTTGATGACCACCAAAGAGGGTATCACCAAGCAAACCACGTGGTGGCCTCTGTTGCTCTTCAGCAAGTACATGAGAGGTCAAGTCATTGCGACCAATGTTCGGTCTCCAGAATATGAGGGACCCACTGAGCCCAACTGGATCAGAGGTGCTATCGAAACACCTTACCTAGACGTCAGTGCCACGATCGATGATAATGGCTACATCAATCTGGCAGTAGTCAATGTTCACGAGACCAAGAGTTTCATCACGGACTTAGACGGCATTACCTCCGGTGCTGAGGTCGATGTCTACACTGTTACTGGTGACAGCGTCACACTCGTCAACACAGGCGACAAAAGCCCCGTTGGGATCGTTGAAGGCAAGTGGGACGGCAAGGGGGCGTATGAGTTTGTGAAGGCATCTGTTACTCTACTGAGATGGAAAGCTTAAGATAGGAACATGTTATAGATGTACATATCGGATTCAACGTAGGGTCATCCGACATCTCGCGAGATCGTGTGCATTGGCTCCGAAAGGGAGAGGGCCAATTGTCAGGGCCGTTGTCACGTAGACCTCTAGGACAATAGCGACACTCGTGACCTGATCCGGTTCATTATTCACAGCTTTTGATGCTGTCAAATCCTTTCCACCGCCTCCAAACGCTCGGCGTAGGTGGTGTGTGCATGTACTTTCTGTTCCAGATGTTTCTGTCTCCAGCAGCGGTCTCAATCTACTCTCAAATGATATTGGCGTAACAGAACAGAGGACTATTAGGTTTGCATGAAGCACACGTCGCCATGACCAAACGCAGGCGTGATGGTGATTTGGACAAAGGCGTACATTCTGACCGCAAACCGTCTTCTTCCCAGCGGACTGCCCGAAGCTCGCTCTCAGTCCACAGCGGTCTAGTAGCGACGTTTCATCTAAAAAAGGACCTACTCGCTTTCACTGGTTTCTGCCTTTTAAGCGGATGTGCCTCCGTGTTCAGCACAAAGTCATCTAGGCTTATGAGATCGGGCGGTGAAAATATGAGATAGAAATACTTCAGGGTTTCTGACAACCAAAAGCTCTGTCACGTTGAATAGTTAGCATAGTTCGCAACTCAGCTTACTTTTTGAGACATCGAACTCACCTCCATCGAGTCTAATTTCTGCGTTTTGCCTTCCGCTGTTACGTCGGCGATGGCGGAGTTCGCAAACGGTGTCTCGGTAGCCTTTACAATGGACTGGAACATTGTCCAGGCAATCTCCTGATACTCGCGGTCGCCCGTCATTCTGTACAAAAGAAAGATGCTTTCGATTGCCTCCGGACGGAGGATATATCGAGGGTCACGGGCGTGAGAGAACCCCTTCCTCAAGTTCCCGTCTCCCTCGCGCTTCCAGCGTTCATCATCCCACGGACACTTGTTCAACGAGGGACATGTGACCATGCCAAAAATCTCGGGCATTAGTCCCGTGGGAAATGAAGAGTAGGCCCAGGCACACCCGCGCGCCAGTCTCTTGGCCAAGCCCACATGCTCCTTGATGCCGAACAACTTGCCACCCAGGCCAAACATACCGCCGACAAAACAGGACAAATGCTGGCTCTCGGGGTTTCGTCTCACACCGTTCTCGACAAAGGCCGTCCCGGGAAACAAAATATCTTCACCTCCCGGAAGCATTGGTCGAAATAGTAGGTGTTGTTGAGCAATTTTCATGGCGTCACGGTACATCTTTTCGTAGGCAGGATCAGTCCCGCCAAGCAAGGCATACATTTTGGGTATGTACTCATAGAGAGAGTCAGCGAGCGCGCCTAGGGTGAATTCGTTGTGGTTAACGACAGATTCGTCGTGAAAGTTGATCAAGGCCGGCCACATTCCGGGCAGTTGGCTCTCGTGTTGTGTTCGTTCTAGAAAGAGCTTAACTCTTTCGATCGCATCGAAGTACTTCGGTTCGCCAGTCAGCTGAGAAAGCCTAGTGAACTCGAGAGACAGAGAACAAGGCGAGGCTGATGGATCGTTCGTGCCCGCGATAAGCTCCCCGCTCTTTGCTGCTTTGAAGTCTAACCAGAATGGAGGCATGCGATTAGGGGTGTCGAAGGCAGCATAAAGCATATCCCCTAGTTGGATGGCCTTGGCTAGCAGCACTGGTTCGCCGCTGAGGTCATAGGCACTGAGAAGGCCACCAAGATGGCGAATAGTTGTCTCAAAGACGTTGACGGACGTTTCGACCGTGTTATCCCAATCAATCTTTGCGATGGACGCCAAGGCCAGCCCGAACTCATCGTGTAGATCCATTATCCATAAGGTATCGAGAGCGTCAACGAGAGTAGCTGCGTAGCCTCCAAAGGTGTTCTTGCCCTTGGCAGAGACGGGCGTAAGCTCGTCATACTCCCAGGCGTATTTCTTGTAGCTCTCCCAGCTCCTGACAAATGTTTCTCGAACTGCAGCTCGTCGTGAGTCGGACGTCGCATCGTTTGGTTGGCCGCGCTTCGCGCTGGGCGTGAATTGGACTCGTGGAAGTTCCTTCGGTGGTTCGGTCGGGAGGTGGTGCATCGATTCTGGAGCAATCGCATATTTGTGTTGATGGCTCGCCCAATCGTAGCTACTTTGCGCAATGGGAATGTTGCCATACTTTGGCCTCGATTGGTGGTCGGAGGGTTGTAAAGTGTTGAAGAGCAGGAAGCCGAAGAGAATAGCGCCGATGATGATGGAGCGCCGCTGTCGTCGAGTAGCCATGTTGTCACATCGAGGATGGTGCCAGTGTTCGCTCAAAGCTTGCTGCAGTATGTAAGCTTAGGCTCCCTAATTAGACCAGTCCATAGCTTTAGAAACCAGCCCCATGGCCCTCGGCGCGGAGCTTGGGCCCAGCTTTCCCCCGTCCCATGGGGCTGTTTGTCTCAGGAGTCAGGAGTCGCGGGCTGTGACGTGGCGCCCAATAGCAAACAGACAGCTGGGCCATTTTGTGTAGTAACTGCAGCCAATAATGCTGGAGCTCCGTGTTCGAGGGTCTTCGTCCAAGGTGCAAATCAGGCGAGCGGAGAAAAAAATCTCGGCCGGGGTGGTGCTGGAGTCAATGCTGCCGGCTTCCGCGCTACTTAAATACAGCCGGCCAGTCTCCAGCGTCTCAGAGAGTTAGCTGTAATAACTTAACAAGGGACACGCCAGATGATTCGGTCAAGCTCGTTTTCTTTAAGCCAGCCTCTTGTTGGTTCAATAAGAAATATTTCGAGATTTTCTTTGCCCCAATTTTAAACCCTGAGCCTCTATTTTGGACAGTCTACCACGACTGTACGCCATCCTGTGTCACAATCTTGCCAACATCGCCATCTCTGTCACCTTCTATGACTTTCTTGATCAGCTCGCCGCCCTTCCTTGGTTCTCCAGCTCCCATTTTCTTGAGCAACTCGGGATTGCCCCCCAAGCCAGTAGCCAGGAATCCTGGCGAAATCCCCCAAACCTTGACGCCGTCCTGCTCGAAGAGGTAATGCCAACTCAACATCACCATGTTTAATGCAACCTTGCTTGAACGGTAGCCCATCGGCGTTGGGCCCTTCGGCCATCCCGCAGGAGTTGTTATCTTGCCCAAGTGCGGCATGAGACCATGGCTCGCGATGGCAGTGAGATTGGAAAGACCACTGGTGACAAAGAGGAGACGCGGGTCTGATGATTTCAGTAGCAAAGGTGCGAAAGTGTGTGTAATGACGTGGGCACCCGAGGTGTTGACGTCGTACGCCTTGTTAAAGGACTCGCGGACAGCGGCGATGTCATTGGCGCGGGCGACGATGGTACTGTCGAATGAGGCCCCTGTAGTTGCAATGTCTATGTCAGCTCTCGCAAGGGTCCCGTAAGGTCGAATAAGTTCTCACCAGCATTGTTGACCAGTATATCAACAACTCCATGTTCATCGCTGATTTTCTGGAAAGCTTTTGAGATGGAATCGTCGCTGGTGACCTCGATCTGCAGGGGCTGCAAAGAGCTCGGGGTAGCAGGGTATTCATCCTTGAGCCGAGCAATGGCTTCATCTCCCTTGTCCGGCGATCTTGATCCTAATATGATGTGATATGGCCTGCCAGACTCGAGAAGCTGCTTTACAGTCTCATATCCAATGCCGGTGTTGGCACCAGTAATGAGCACAATCCGCTTGGTGGACATCGTAGGTAGCTGAAGCAGATTGAGCGTTCCGCGAAGCGTCTTGATGATGTGACTATCATAAGAAATGTGAATGAATGACAATTCGATTGTTGCCGCCTCTTGTTTTTCTTCGTTCTTTGGATAGAATGAGTCCGATAAGAACCATTTTAAGCATGCACGAGTAAACGAGCAACCTAATTCTGCCTTACCACACCATCGCGTTTTGGAGCTCGCGCCCGGATTTAAGCTTCTAGGCTCGCATCAAGCCGAACCTCTCTGGGCGGTCTCTCGCTTCTCCCATCCGCCAGTATAAAATACAGGCTCCAGCGACGCACAATAAGGGAGAACAGCGTTTGGCGGTCAAAACTCATGCTTTAATTCTCAAGAAGATAGAGCAGCTGTCAACACAGCACCCATCAACGTTATGGTCGAATTGGGGCGGGGACCTGACGAAGCAAGTCTCCCACCTGTGCGACCGTCGGGACTGCTTTAAGCCCGACCACCTATCAGACGAGACAGCCCAACGCAGTAACTCTCGTTAAGGCTGCCCCGGCCCGATCTACTGCGGTGACCACGGCCACCTCATTGTCAACTCAGCGCCCATGATCCCCCTTGTCTTAGACTCACTAGAGACGATATCAAGTGCTGCATCGCCCAGGTGGATGAGGTCGTGGTCTTTGGTCGTCCACAACGTCGGGTTGTGTCCCGCGGGCTGCCCACCGTGCGCCTCCTCAGAGGCGAGATAGTCGGAAACTGTCGCCGAGCGCTGTAATACCCCGCAAGCACGCCGCTTCTAATTCACTCTCTTCGCCCCATCACAACACAGCGTGTCCTCGGCAATCTTTCTCGTTTCGCCTTGAGATTCATGATCCACGCCCCAAATCAGTCAGCTTCAATTTATTGCCTCTCATGGCGAAATCAGTCCTCATTATCGGTGTCAATGGCACTTTGGGCGCCAAGATCCTAGATGCCCTGGTCGCTTCCCAGTCTTTCAAACTGAGTGCCCTTAGGCGTGCGGGCTCCAAGAGCACCATCCAGTACCCAGTTGATCAAGTTGCTGTCGTCGAAGTCGATAGCGATCTCTCTTTTGAGGGCTTGAAGAAAGCATTCACTGGGCAAGATGCCGTCATCGTCAGCTTCCGTCTGCGAGACCTCGAACAGCATCTGCGCATTGCTGAGGCCGCCGAGGCCGCCGGCGTAAAGCACCTTATCCCCGCCGATTTCGGCAGCATTGACGCTGATAACCCTCGCGCCCGCGAGCTCATTCCCCTCTATCGCCACAAGAGAGCTGTCCGACTCAAGGCTCAAGAATTGGCCGACAAGAACAAAGATTTCGCTTGGACGGGCATTGTCTGCGGTCATTTCTTCGACTGGGGCATCAGAGAAGGGTTTCTCCACGCCTATCTGGACAAAAAGGTGATCGACATCATTGACGGCGGTAATTTAAAAGCATCTGCTGCCACTCTCCCCAGGGTGGGCGAAGCCGTCGTGCGCATTCTCCAGAAGGGTGTGACCGACGTGACGAGAAACAAGACGCTTTTTGTTCAGAGTTTCTGCATCACTCAAAAAGAACTCATCAAGAGTCTAGGGAAGGCAACAGGCGCGGAATGGAAAATCAACGACCTCAACTCTCAGAAATTCATCGAAGAGCACAAGACGAAGGCAGACGCAGGCGATCACAATGCCATCGAAGACCTTGTATTTGCAGTCGGCACTTTAGATGCCGATTGGACCAAGCATCCTGACTTCGCCATGGAGGCTTTGGGTTTGGAAGACGAAGACTTAGATGCCATAGTCGCAGATATTGTTGCCAACCCAACCGGGAAATAAAGACAATAACGCAGTTTTCCCGCATCGAATATATTCAAGCTATGGTCGTCATCGACTAGTAATGAGCCTTCCACCAGTTGCGTTGCGCTGTCCGCTACGATCTATATCTCTTGGCTCCCGCCTGACACCTTCTTGATAGCGTCGGGCAAGTTCTGCATGCCCTCAAGGAATACGTCGAATTCATTCTTGACTTCAACCATGTCTTCATCGATATCGTCCGTCCAACGATGAATGTAGATCGTCTTCATTCCCACCTCCTTGGCCGCCCTCAGATCGTAGGCGTGTGCTGCAACCATGAGGACTTCTTCCGCTTTAGCATCAATAAGATCAAGTGCTTTCCTGTAGGCTTCTAGGTTGGGTTTGTAAAGATTCAACAATTGGCTTGAGAAAAGCATGTCGAATTTCAGCCCTGAAGAACGACAAAGGTCTAGTTGCAGCCGACTCGTGCCGTTTGCATGCACGAAGACTTCAAGCCCGAAATCTTGCCTAACACTTCGTATAGCCTCTTGCACCTCTGACCATGCAGACTGAGAGTGCCATGCATCGATCATTTTTTGTTTGGTCGAGGCATCAAAGATAGCTGTGTGTTGTGGCAGCCTGTCTAAGATACTTTCGAGAACACGGTCCAACGTTATATCGATGTTTTCTGGGGGAAGGTTTTGGAGGAATCTTGCGTTGTTTTCGATGAAGTATTGTCTGCGCCATTCTAACGTGAATTTCGAAGCCTCGTCTCTGGGGATTGAAGATGGCCAAGATTGGAGCACACTTGAGTGCCAGTCAAGGCATGTTCCCATGAAGTCGAAGAAAACCGCCTTGAACCTTTTCGTCATGCTATTCGACGATGTTGAAGATTTGTTGTGTCTGGTATTAAATAATTCAAGTATGGATTGACTGACTGTCTAAAACTGAGTGGTTGGGTTTAGGGGGTTTTCAGGGCTTTTATCCTTTATTGTAATGCATCGTAGCTGCAGATCAGCAATTAGTAATTGCAACAGCAGTTGATGTCGTCGAAGGGCGTGTCCATCCTCTCAGATACCCTCTGCCTAACGCAACCGCTGCAGACCAGAAATATACAGGATCAGCGTCAACCATGTCAACCAATCACATAACCCACGCTGCTCTGGTGCGATCGGGATGCATCGGCAATTGTGCCCCTTCATGGCATAGGGCAGCAACACAAAAGTCCCTGGGCTTGCCGTGAATCAGACAGAATTCGCCTGCGGAGCTGATTACGGAGAATATGCCCAACGCCCCGCATACATAATTCTTTTGGGCAGGGCTAATGTTTCTTGAGAGCCTCAAATGTCTTTTTTTTTCTTCCCTTCTAAGTTTTCTTCTTCGCAGTTTGCCGACTGGAGGCGCACCTTGTTGACTACCGTATGACTCTGACGGGGAAACATGTATTACATCACTCACACTCATGCTTGACTCCATCGCATTACTAAAAGGCTCATGGAATGTTACTAATATCTCTTTATGCCTATCCTATCCCTAATAGCACCACGATGTAGTTATAGTGGGTGTTTATGTGACTAGAGTATGATACCAGACCCGAGTAGACTTTCTCTTACGAGAACTGTAGTTCCCAACATGCATTTTGGCGAAAGGTTCAAGCTACGAAGTCGCCCCTGCGCAAATATCAAAGCCTTCGATAGCTTTCTTGTCGGAGAATTGAATGGTCACAACGAATATGATCAGGGAGCTGAGGAAGCCCATTGCGAAATATTGACCCGAAGGTATTCAGTTGTAGAGTACCTCGTAAGAGACGTCATGGCACCACGCAAAATGATGGGTAAACCCCGTGTATGATTCAATTGCCATCCTGCAAGACAATTATTTCAGCCATCAGTATGTGATAGTCGCCACTTTGCGAACATACTTGTCGTTGCTGCAATTCAAGATATTATCGAACATCCATCTGCCCACGTCCTCTCGGCAAATTGTATATCCTATGGCTAGGCTCTTCACGCCACTGACAGGATCTTCGACACCGACCTTGATTGCAACACCAGAAGTTTCGTTTCCGTTGGTGAGAAAACTAGCTCGGAGAACTGTCCATTCTTCTCCGGAGTTGAAGAGAAGCTCCTCCAACGCGCGCTTGTCCTGGTGTGGTGTGGAGAGAAGGCCCTTGTATATGGGGTAAATGATAAGCGGTGTGTCTCTGCCAAACTTGGATATGCCAGTGCTGCTCTGTCCGATGACACGAGGACGTCCAGAAACTCCTCTTTCGGTGCGTAGAGTCTTGATGGCATTGAGAAGAACAGCCATGCCATGCTCACATACATGTACGTCCTCAAGAGTCATTTTTCGCAACTCAAACCAGGCACCAATGGTGGAGATGACGAAGTCCACAAAGGATGTTGCGTCATGAGGCGAAACGATACAATTCTTGATGGCTTCCATGTCGTGCGCGTTTCCCTTGAATACTTGAAGGTTGGGATGGACTTCGGGGGAGAGTACGGACGTAAGTTTGTCTGGGTTCCGACAGAGTACGATGCATGTGAAGCCGGCGGCCAGCGATCGACGCAAGGCAGCTTGGCCACAGCCGCCGGTTGCCCCGAGGAAGAGGATTGTCTTCGGGGGTTGCATGTTGACGGACTTTACAGTGGAGACGGGGTAAGCCGATTACGGATGCGACGATGCGAATGCGGGTACCGGGGTCGGCAAGCTGGGGTGTAGTCGGACGGGGCGGAAGTCCGGTCGCAAAGATGCAGTGGGGAGAGATGAGTAGAAGCAGCTGTATGAAAGCAGTGCGACTGTACGCCAGTTGCACTTTGAGTTTCACAGTAACAAACAAATGCGTGAGGGCCGAGAGGGCTAAGAAGTCGAAAACAGTGTTGATGGTGATCACAGTGGCAATACTGACTGACAGCAGCGGTGCTTTGGGGCGAGGAAGGCGATGCCCTTTTATTCTTTCCCAAAGCCCGGCGGTCATGCGATTCTCTACAAGGCAGCATTGCAATGGCAAAACCACATCATGGCGAAGGCTTCATGTTGAGCCGAGTTGCTGTTGGTGGCTTGGGCTACGACCCAGACATATCGGTCGAAGGATTAGATCCCTGACGCCACAAAGGTATTTCAGTGATAGGAAAGGGAGTCGACGGTCGAGAATTCCTCCGCCCTTACTCCCCGTCCGGATTGTGGCGTCCAATCAGATTCTTGAATCAGTGGTGGCCCTGCACGCATAGTAAGCTTCTCAAGACAAACAACGGGACAAACTGGCCGATTCTTCACCCATGATTCCGTGATCCATGAAGAGGTGGGCTCAAATCGTACGCGGCCCGCCCGGGCACTTGGTCATTCGGTTCTCTTGCAGTTTATCACTCGACCGAAACCCTGCGCCTCCTCAGTTCTGCTGATGCATTGTCATCACCATCGTCCGTTGAGTTAAAACCTTACTGCCTGCAAAACCCCTCTTCCCTGACTCGTTTGCGATTCTCGATTCTCAAATAGTGACTCCCTCAGGCTTCTGGCGCCGCGTGACTCCCGCCTAGCCGAGCCTGTTCTGCGAAACTGACGCTTCTGAAGCTTTTGAAACTGGCAGGCTTCATTCACATCGTCTTCGCCATGGCTCTTCATCTCTTCATCCAGATGACATATGTCGGCCTAGCGTGACATTCCGGATATCGCCCACACTCGTCACGAAATAACCCTACGAGTGTCACTTTGCGACCTCGTCGAGAAATTGGCTTCCAACTTGGCATCATTGTCCCGTCTTCGACCGCCAACTTGTACTGGCAGCGTGCAAGATGGGCATCGGCAATACTGCGGACGACATGCGCATCCCTGCAAACCCAACCTTGAAGCACAAACGTGACGTTTCGTTGTGGCGAAGACAGTCTCCCCTACTCTCATGCGGTACTGGGTGCGGCGATTCACTCCAGCGTGGGCGGTACAGGATCGTTTGAGTTTCGTCTGAACTCTCACATCACTTACTTCCTCAAGGAACGTGCTGGATGAATCCCAATGAGCAACTTATCAAATCACAAGTCACAAGCAAGGGTGCTGGGAGCTTTTTCCCTCGGCCGGAGGGTCGTCACGACCCAGGCCTCATCCATGCTGTTTCGTAGATCTCTGACACCAGCTCCCAGCTGTCGGACTATGCTTTTTCCTATGGTCACAATAAAGATAGCAGTGTGCCTCCAGATCAAATCGCTCGAGCACAACTAGATGTGATCTGGTCATCATCCCTAGACCAATCATTTAATCCCATCCTGGATTATTCGACATGCTTGTGGGAAAGTCGGTCCCGGAACTCATCCTGGTGAGGACCATGGTGGTCTTCTTCCAATACCTAGGCTTCTTATGTCTCATTTACTTCTGGTTTATTTTCGCCATAGTAGGCGTGCCTGGGATTGCTCACCCCGTGTCTATCATAATCGAAGTCATTGGCCTTATCGAAATCGTCTTCTACTTCGCCTTTTATCTTCCATTCCGATCTCGCTTACAGAAGCCGGGCTTCGAAGTCGAACCGTTGTCGCAGGCCGAGCGCCGACAATTCTTCCAAAAGGGTCTTGACCACGCTCCAGATGTCGAGCAGTACATACGGAAATGGCATTGCAATGCCCAGCTTGGAGATATTCGCAGAGAGAATGTGAAGGACTGGTTGATGTGGGCGCTGTTCGACAAGCAGGGCAATCCAGGAGAGCATGACGCCGAGCTCGAGGAATACATCGCAGATGCAGAAGAGCGCGCGGGAGTAACCATCAAGAAGGGATATGGTGACTCTACCCCAATGCGCCTCAGTTTCGATCCGATCGACATCAGGCATCGCAGCTTGCTGTTCTATCTTGTAAGTTCATCACCTTACAGCGACGAAGAACTAGCTCATGAGACAAAATCAGATAGTAGGAGGCCTCGACCTCTTTGTGACCATTGTCCTAGCGATCAGAGGGTTCAAGTTTTACCGACAACCGCGCAAGACTTTCTTCTCCGTCTTCCCTCTGCGACCTATGACCCTCCTGGCACCGAATGAATCGAATAGCTCGCAGCTGAGTTACTTTTGCCGTCCCCATTCATCCAAGGAACATCGCCCGATCCTGTTTATCCACGGAGTTGGTGTCGGCCTGCTCCCATATCTATACTGGCTGTGGACTATTCCTAAGGACGTCGGTGTGCTCTGCATCGAGATACTACCCGTCTCCTCACGCATTTGCCCGCCGTTGCCCCCAACCGACGAGCTTGTCGCCGGCATGGATGCAATTATTCAGCAACAAAATTATAACGACTTTGTGTTTGTGGGAAACTCCTTCGGTACCCTGTTTGCGGCGCCCCTTCTCAAGAAACCAGACCTGGCGAGACGAATAAACTCCATCGTCCTCATCGATCCTGTTTCGATACTGCTCCATCTTCCTGCAGTGGCCTACAATTTCACTCGACGAACACCGAAATGGGGCAATGAATGGGAGATCTGGTTTGTAGCCACAGACGCGATGACAGCGCACACCTTAGCGAGGCGCTTCCGCTGGCAGGACTTTATTCTCTGGACCCCTGAGCTTCAAGGGAAACGCACGACAGTAGTCTTGGGTGGCGAGGACTGCGTGACAGACCCAGACGCGGTGGCCAGCTATGTCTACTTCGGCGACCTCAACTATAGCCGCGCCGATAAACACGAGTGGTCCACTACGCCTGACAGGTGGTCAGGGCAAGGGGAGCTGGAGCTGATGTACCTGGCTGGCATGGACCACGGACAGGCATTCCTCAGTATCAAGCATATGCCGCGGATAGGGAACGTGGTATTAGAGTACACGAAACTAGACCAAGAGATGGAATCTCGACAGGCAGAGGCTGTGAAAGAAGAAGAGCAAAACCAGATCTGAATGACTTTATGATTTATGGGGGGTCTATCTGCTCTTTGGACTGGAGTCGAGAGGTTATGGTCGGGAACCTGCCCTCGCATGCAAAAGTCACTCGATATCCACATGTACATCACAATGAGAAGATATAGATGATCGTTCTCCCCTGCGACTGAACCGAGTACACATCCTGCGTGTTGAGTCTTGTCTTGGGCAATCCATGACAGAGAGGATGAAGAAGCGGAAGAAGCGGAAGACGCGAAAGACTCAAGGGTCAGTATGCCAACCCCCCACATTTCTCCTGCCCCTTAAGCACCTCGGGTTGCCGCCGCTGAACTTGCCATTTCTTTTCTTTTGCGAGATGTATCGATTGCGAGAAAAGGAAATTTGGGCAGCTTGTCCTTGCATGATGCAAGGGGTTTCCAGGACTGGCGCGGCCCCAAGGCGCCACAAGTTAATCAATCGAAACGCTCCATCACCGTTCGAAGTAATCAGATGCTTGCCTTCACCAGGGTCTAAGATGAGCCACGACACCTCCTTCATACACGCGACGCGTCTTGGCCTTCGGAACAGTTGAGATTGATGGCACCTCCCATTCGAGACGCTTGGGTGATTGAGCGATGGCTATTTCGTCGATAAAAAGGAGATCTTCCTCTTCAGAATATTGGTCAAGGTTTACCCTCCATCAATTCTTCCACCGCGTACCACAACCATGGCTGAAGTCGAGGGTGCAGTCGAAGATCCCACCAGCCTCGTGCAAAGCATGTTGCGTTCCATCTGCACAAACATGGAAGTGCGCTGCGCAAGAGAGGTCATTCCTGAAGTGCACAGTCCGCATGTTTTCACCGTGGAATTCCTCCAGCCTCTTTACCTCATTTGCGCCTTCCTCGACATCAGTCCTGAAGGCAAGCAACTTGGCGACACGGTAATGACCCAGCTAACCTGTTTGGTAGTATGGCACGGCATCCTCATGGAAGCAGCCAATCTGCTGGCCTGTAAGCGACTCAAAATCGACGAATACGAAAATCAGATCTGTTTTTCGAGGCGAGACCGGCGGAAAAAACACCGCAAGTCTCCATGCTGCGCGTGCTGCCTTTGCCTACCAGGCTGCCGTCGTTGTGACGCCGAGCTACAGGTGCAGTCGTACGAAAAGCCACCGCGAAAGCAGGAGCGGTTTGAGCTCCTGTTCAGGAAATCCCATTTGTGGGATATATACTACGCTATGTGTGGTGTGTCGGTACGTTAGGCGTAGAAGGGGACGCATGGTCGCTTCAAGGTTCGCATTTCACTCATCTAACAGTTGGCTCGGGTTCAAGAGCCCATTCGACAGGTTGCCCAGGATCCATCTTTGGAAAAGCCAACAATCGCATGTAAGTGCTGCCGAAACGCTGGGTATCTCCTCTTAACATTTGGTCAGAAAACCTATCGGATGGAAGCGTTTCTCGTCAAGCAATCTGGGAGAAAGTACGAGCTCCAGAAGACCTGCATGAGGAATGGACCGGCCAGGCATGTGCTCGAGATCGAGGGACTACGGACAGAGCTGCTGCGCAACAAGGTGGCGTTGGAGGCTCTGTTGGCGGAGAACGTGGGGTTGCGGGCGGAGAACTCACATCTGCGATTGGAGAGAGAACACTGTTTGGAGCTACTTGAGTCCGTAGGCGTGCCGGCGCCGTCTCAACGTGAGCTTCCATTCTTAGCTGCGGCTGATGACGAAGTTCTGGGAGCGAGAGTCGCGAAATCGACTTCTGATTATGAAGAGGAGTAAGACAACTCCCATCACCTGAGATAAAGCCACCCTCGCTCACACTGCTGACACTCCGACTAGTGGCTTGGATGCTGGCTCTCCTGATGACCAGGTCAGACCACTGCCTAACATGACTGTATTGGCGCAGACAAACCGCAAGAAAACAAAAAAGCAGCGTGCGAAGGCGGCTCGGGAGCGCAAGCGGCGACGAGAGCACAACAAACAGCAGTATCAACAGCTGTTTGGAGAGCATGGTAGCATCGAGAAACCTCCGCAGCCTGTAAAGGCGGGCCGTTTGAGGACCCGACCTTTCAATGTCTGTCGTGGTCCAAACCTATCCTGCAAACAGCGGACTCTGAATCGAGCGACCTGGGAAGAGTTTGAGACAACTCTAAAACCGGACATACGGAGAGATATCAAGACAATTTCGACAGCCTTCTGGTCCTCTGTGAATTGGGGGAAATATTTGTCAAGAAAGGCACGAAGTGAGTTCATGGAGGCCCATCAGAAGTTTCTCTGTACACACGCCCATTTGTCAGATCCAGTCAAGCCAGCGCCCAGTGACAGATTGATGGGTATGTTGCGGACAGCTATGCGTGGCTTCAAACAACACGTTGATTATGTTCGGTCAAAGGGCGCCTCAGGCTTGGAGGGACCGGAAAGGATGTTGAGCGAATTTGAGGAATTGTGTATGGAGAAGTTCAGAATGTAGAATGTGAGTACCGGCTGTTTTTAGAACGATCCGCAGCCAGGGCTTGCTCCACACGTCGTCCTTGCACCTATTTAGGCGTCATTGATGGAGGTGATAGATTTGATTGTCAATCAGCAATGCGATGTTGAGTTGACAGCCAGCCAGCACACAAGCAAAGTAATTAATCCAATGTCGTTGTACACAGGCTTTGAAAGCCCGCAACATCTTGTCGTAAACGCGTCAATCTCTAGGCATCCATGTGTTATAGCTGGACGACCATCATTGTTGCGTTACCTCTGATTCCCTCCTAGCGTGCGCCCTTAACTTGCAGTTAGCCCTGTGCATTGGGAGTACCAAGCTTTCACGCCTTGAGCAATCAGCTTTAGCAGCTCTATGTGCGGCAGGTATGTCTTTCGATGCCCATTGTCGCGTTTCTTACACTAGCAAGGAGCCAAGGGCTGTGATATTTGGAGGGCATTAGTATTTGTTCGGCTAAGATTGCAACACTGCGCCAGTGAATCATTAGCCCTCAAGCCTAGTACGTCAATTCCACAAGTTTATTAGCCTGGACAAACTCATGAAGTATATAGAAGGTTGTGATATATACAGTAGACGGTCGCTACCGCAGCGTTTTTACGCCAATCTTGTTACTTTAGATGTTTACGTCACACATCATGACTTAGGCGCGTCAGTCAAGGGCACATATCGAACACCGAAAAGCTTCTCCTTGACGACCGATCCGTCCTCCTTCTTGTCAATGGCCCAGACATACTGGTCGTAGCCGTTGTCGTCCTCGACGGGGATGAACATTCTGTACTGCAGTCAGCCCCCGCGACGACCGTCGTCGACACAAAGGCAGTCTACTACTCACCTGCCCGGAGCGCGCAGCTGATCCACCAGCTCCTGATGGAGCTTAACGGCTGCAGCGCCGACGTGGATGGCATCCCACCCGGTGCCGCCTCCCTCTTCCCCTGGCCGCGGGGCTTCTACCCACCCCTTCCTCCCGTCGCCCGTGTGAAATCGCACCTTGCCGCTGTCCAGCAAAGCCCGCCCTTCGTCGCTTTTCCGCATGTTGCGCTCTCCCAGGTCCCTCAGCGCTCCGATGTGTTCCAGTCCGACCACCAGGCCCTTTTCTCCCACCAGCTCCGCGAGCAGGTGCGTCAGGTACCCCGACCCCGAGCCTATGTCCAGCACGCGCGGGGCAGGTTTCGTCGCGGAGGGGGTGAGGTGCGGGAGGAGGGATTCGGCAGCGGTGGCATGCATGTGCGGCGCGGAGATGGTTGCTTTGTGACCGATGGACTGGGGAGAGTCTTCGTAGGGGGCGGAGGGAGCGTAGTATGCGCGGTCAACCTAGAATGTCAGCACCTCTCTCTGCTCGCGCCAGCCGTTACCTTGGCGAAGTGGCGAGGCATGCCATTTACCTTGAGAAAGGCGTCCTTGACCCGTTGGTCTTTTATGAGACCATTACGCCACAAGTTCTCGACGAGGTCTTTATTTGATGCACCGGAGCTCCGCCAGGCCATCTTGAAGTTGAGAGGGAGGGAGCGGTGCACTTGGCGTGTGGTTTGATCGTTGACCGAGCTTGGGACGAGCTTGAGAGCTCTCCGAACGAGACGGTACCGAGAAATCGTGGCGGCGAATCAACCCGAATAACGATAGAAACAAATGGAAAAACTCGAGGGACCTGAAGAAGGTGGACAACTGTCTCGCGGTGTATTGAGCTAGGTACGCTTCCTTACCTAGGTGCTTATCAACATGAAGAATGGAAGGTGCATCTAGACCTAGGTATGTGGCGGGAGCAGGTCGATGTTCTCGGGCGATGGTTCGCGTGGAATGATGTAACCGCTTCCCCAGAGCTTCTAGAGCCGCTGGAAATGAGGGGCAACTGCAGTAAACCGTTGCGGTTCCGAGCCCACAACACCCCGGCGAGCGCTAACCTTCGCCCCCGCTTACGGATCATCCCGCTGCGACCACTAAATTCCCTTGAAAGATTCCCCACGAGCACCGCAGGAATGTCACCGTTTTGCTCCGTCAAGGCCAACCGTGTCAGGTAGTAATCAACGCTGTCGAAGGTTTTGTTTGTCACACTAGTCGGGCAGTCGAGGAGCAGATGTACTAGAAACTCAGTTGTGATGTGATACTGAGGGAGGGCCTCGCGCTCCCATGGCCAAATATATATGCAGATTACCCGACGCCGTGAATTCCCCTCCCATTAGCATCCCACGATGACCAAGCCAAGGAAATAGTAAAGGGTGCCATTGTCGAAGACTTTTTGTCCAGTAAATGGACAGCCTAAGACACATTGCTGCGCGTTGTGATGCATGAAGACGCCAAAACTAAACCACTCTCTCCGTCGATTCGCCCTCGGCAATGATGGGCACGGGCAGGCCGCGGTCTGGGCTCTGGAGCACCAGCTGCTCGTGTCGCCTCGCCTTCAGATAGTCGCTAACAGATCTGATAAGGACGAACCAGCCAACTACCATTAGAATGTAGGCAATCCACTCCTGTCCAGTGATGTCCGCCACGCCGCCGCCACCCTCGCCCGTAACCGCGTTGGGGTCGAAGTTGTGAGAATTTGGGTCGGGAGGCGCAGCGTAACCGTCTTGGCCGTTCATCTTGGGTGGATGGTCACCCTCCGTCGTTCCCTTCATATAGAAGCCGTACTGGATCAGCGTGATGCCGAGGCCCGCGCGCGAACCGTTCTTGGCGGCGTGGGTCGAGTGAAGGAGGTAGGTCAGGATGAAGCCGACGATCTGGAAGGACATGGAGATCATGCCGTTCCAGACAAAACTGAAGAGTGAGCCCACGGGCATGCCGTCGATGTAGACTTCGTCGGGGCCGCCGAGGCCAGGAGCGAGGATCGTGGTTTCCCAGTAGGGGGGAGCGGCATCGGCAGCAGCCTGCTCGTACGTCTATTTTCTGTCAGTATTCGCTCGAAATCACGGGTATTCTGCCCTTGGGGATTAATGCGACGTACGGGAGGTTGTTCTTCCTTCACCTCGCCTCCACGCTCGGGCTTCGCAGTCAAGTTGGAAAAGACGCCTTCATTCTGGATGCCGCTGCCGTAAATGCGGAAGGGCGTTGTCGGGCCGCCGGCGGTGGTGGAGGCTGTTGGTGGCAGTTGTGTGACATGGCGTTCGGGCTGGGGTCTCGATTCCGAGGAAGGGTTGCGTGATGCGTCGCGGGAAGCCTGGGTGGAGTCGGCGCGGACTAAGCGTTGTCGGTCATCGGCGTCGTCATCGCTATCGTCACCGTCGGTATCGAAGGCGTCTGCCAGTGCGGGATCAACTCCACGACGGTCGCGCGAGGACGCTCTGGAGTGGAAAGAGGGCGGTGGTGAGTTGGGGACGGGCTGCGATTGTCGTCTTGGCGGAGCGGAGTTGGGGGCTTCGAAGCCGTCTTCATCGTGATCATGGGCATTCACCTAATGGAACAAGACGTGAGTATGTTTGTCGCGGCGGTGGAAGGTATCGGGGCCAGGCTATGAAGCTTACCCTCTCATAACCTCCAGCCATCTTGACGATGTTTTTTTGTGTGGGTTTGCGGCGTCGTGTTGAAATCGAGGAACTCGAAAGGCCCCTTTCGCCACTTCGGACGATGCGACTAGCGTTGATTGATTGAAACGGCGAGAGGGAGATGGGAAAAGGCCAGTGGAAGAAGATGAAGTCGGGAGGAACGCAGAGGAAAAGAAACAAAGCGGCAAGGAAAAATGTCGATGGTCAGTCGGGATCGTAGGAGACGTCGGAGGGAAGAAAGTCGGCAAAAGGAATGACGGGTGTTTGGAGGTTGCTAAAGAACAATGCAAGGAAAAGACGACGAGGGCGACGGGAAACAGCCATAGCGGGCGGGCTTCTGCTGCTGTTCCTCCTGCAGTCGCGGCGGTTGGCTCGGTGTGTTTGGGGGGCAGCCGACGGAGGTGCACCTCACTAAGGGGCGAATGTACGGGTGGAGGCTTATGCGTCGACTTCCGTGCCTTCAGTGTTGGGTAGGCGTCTTACGTAAGGCGGGCTTTGCGACAATAAAGGCGCCAAAATGCCTGGAGCAAGCCCCTGTGCCCCCTGTGGCAGTGATGCCCTTTGACATGGCTCGGGACTATGCGCTAAGCCATTCCAGCTTAGCAGGCCGTGGCCTGGGCCGAAGGTGCTGGAACAGTGGGGAGGACAGGGCGTGGGCACGAGACAACTGGGCGAGGTCGGTCATGTGACCTGCCAATCTACACTGTACTCGCGCGATCCTCCATGTTGATTTCGACTCGGTCTACAGCGTAGCTTTCGTCTCTCGACACTGTCGTGGCCTAGGTAGGAATGGGAGCAATCTGGAATGTTCGAGGCGATATGGTTGCCGCTACCTTACCGACCAATGACACTGGCATACCTCGCTTGAGCATGACAATGATGAAGATGGAGACACTAGCGATAACACCCATTTCTCAACATCCCATAGCCGGCCACATGGTACCTTGTGTTACCAGTTCTACATACATGATTCTAGACTCTATCTCAGCTCAAACTTGCTGTGCCTTTATGGCGTTTTACTGCTGCCTCTTGTCTCGGTTTTGCAGCTGCTTCGTGAGTGGTTATGGGCCGGGGTTGCGCCTGGCACCTTGAGCTGCCTGCTCGCAACTTAGTGACGTGGTTTTATTCATAATGTATATGAGTCCTCCTTCTAAGGGTTGTTGTTATTGACTTTAGAGATTTGGTCTTCTGTTTTCATTTATTGAATTGCTGGATTTAGTCTGATTTGGGGTATCTTCAAGGGTAAACGATCTCTCAAAGGTATTTCACAACGGTTCTTGACCAAAAGGCGCTGAGAAAGCTACAGGGTTTCTCGATCAATGTCCATCGCCTAGGTAGGTATTCAGACGTTTAAACATGAGATAAATGCAAAAAACAATGCGAATTCAGGGCACCATGCAAGCCGACAGACATCACAAAGACTTAATCATGCCCCAGGTACGGTACTCAGTCTCGCGTGCACCTACCCTGTGGCAGGCCGTCGTCAAGAGCCAATCATTAGCCTCACAATAATCCACCCCAAAGCTGCTCTGCCGATTGCCGGAACGGGTAAGCTCCGGGGCAGCGTGCGCTCCAGAAATTAATTTGCGTCTGCCATCCAGCGCAGAAATCCTTTACGTCGATGACGGCGTCTTCCATCTTTTGCGACTTCGCCATCTCGTCGCATTAACCCCCCCTCCGCCGGCAAGGATTCACTTCCACGGCGAGACCATGTTGGGAGAGTAACAACCAAACACTTCACCCTTCCCTGTTCTCTTCGCAAAGATGGCCCGGCCAACAAGCGTGAGTAGTAGTTCCCTTCTTCGCTGCAGCTCCCACGATGCGTCCCTCCGTTGCTTACACGGTTTAACTGCAGCAAGCATACAAGCACTTCCAGCGCGCTCTGGCGCTGTGGCCGAAAGACAATCTCCGCCCCGAAGTCCAGTTCCCCGAGTTCGCCGCCCGCGGCCTCGAGAGGAGGTTTGCCAACCCCGCCGTCGACGAGTTGAGCGAGCTGAAGCAGGCCAACGCCCTGTACGCCCTGGCCGACGACAGGTTCAAGAAGCAGGTGTGTGCCACGGCCCCGTGCGATTGACTCACCTCCCGCTGACCGCCCTCAGTTCCCCTTGAACGGCGAGCTGCTGCAGCCCAAGAGCCAGCCTACATACTTCAATGATTTGCTGAGAGAGCTGGAGGAGGCCCCTACGAGAGGCTGGCTGCAGAACATGTCCAAGAAGCTCAGCGGCATGTTCAGATTCCAGTAATGAAGGACATGATACATCAAATACCCCGCGCATGTCGCACCGTCCCTGGCAAGGCCATGTCCCTCTGCGAGACGTTATTGCTGGACCCTCAACTATGTACAGTACCATGTATAATATCTGTACCCCGTATCGTGTGTCTATGCCAACACAGAGTAGACCCAAACGCCATTCTATTTTCAAGTACCAACGTTTCCTAAATGTATCGCCTCTCGGGGTCCATCTTGTCCATGAAATCCATGCTCTTCTCGTACATGGTAAACACCAGTCCTCCGCTCACAATGAGACGGGCCAGACGAGGCAGCGCACCGCTCCAGAACGTCAGCAGCCCCTCCTGCTTGAAGATCATGCCCGCGCAACGGAACGAGTTGCCGTACTGCGTCCGTGCCTCGATGCTCTGCATTCTGGTCTTGATCGTGTCGAGAGGCTGCGTGACATAGACCGTGATCAGGCCGGCAATGCCACCCATCGCAAAGGTGCCGACAGCGCCGAGCTTCTCCCCGGGCGCGGTGTAGGACTCGGCCAGCTGCTTGAGCATGTTGTATGCGCCGAACCGGGTGGCACTGTTGGCCGCTTGACGTGCCGTCGTGGGGACGAAGCCCTGGAAGAAGCCGCGGATCCCACGTTCGCGGGCGATGATGGGGACGGCGTGCAGGAAGCCGCGCATACGAGGCTTCGGGGATTTCCTATCGTCGATGCTGGAAGGCAAAGGGTCAGCAGGGCGGTGGCGAGACTCGCCGCGATGGGAATTAACCTACAGCGTCGTCTTGATACTCTCAAACGGCGTCACGGCCAGCGCGGACTCTGTGACGCCAGCGCCAAAGCCGGCAATGACCGTCTTGGGGCCTGAGATCTTGCCGTCGGCATCGGCGAGGAGCTTCTTGTACTGGTCAAACGCGACAAATCCTGCCAATTGCGTCGTTAGTCGTTGCCATCGCACACGGCCGCGTAGTCGACGTACGGATTCCCGCCTTGAGGGAGTTGCCGATGATCAGCGTGGTGCAGCCAGCATACCACTGCTTGCCAAAGGGCGGCCAGGGCAGCTTCTTGCCGTCGGCCAGTTGGCGGTTCAGTTGCGACCGGGTCTTGGCGACTATCGCGGGGGGTCAGAGGCAATTCGGGATGGGTGTTCGGCTGTAGGAATTCTTACACTCGGCAGGGTACGTGATGGCTGTAGTTGCGATTAGCTCAAGTCATTGAGTTGTGGACGAGTCCGGTCGTCCTAACTCACCAATCTCCAGGGCGCCGGCCGTAGATCCAGCGATGATGGATCGCAGAACCGTAGGGCCCCCCTTCTTGACGGGCTGCGACTCATCCTTGGTCGCCGCGGGGGCGGTCGTCGCGGTCGACATCGTGGAGTGCGGTGGGCGGGATGTGCCGAGAAGGACGGGTAATCGATGCTGGTTCTCGGGGTTTGTCTCTTTTTTTGTCCCCTTCCCCTCCAAAGAGCTCGACTTGCGTGCAGGCGCAAGCGTCGTGCCAGCGCTCGTGCACCTGCGTCCGAAATCGCGGGGTGTGGAGACCACTGACAAACTCGTCTCGGGTACGTACTGCCTGACGTAACTCTTCACCGACACACCGAACCATTGCTTTCAACTAACACCAGTTTAGTCGATGATGATGAATCGTTTGGGTCCGTTTCTTTACCAAGGAATGATGATAAACTCTCGTTGGTGATTCCTTGGTGCTTTCTAAGTGAACTTGGGTGTTATTAAAGACCAGGCAAAGAGTTTGCGAATTATCCCATGGCATTTCTCGGCAAATGAAGACATACGCGCTTCTCGTCAGATTTCATGTGTTCTTATCCTCTGACTCGAGCATGACATACCTTTCCAAGCTCTCACATTATATCTTACGCTTGCATACACTTGCACATAACATGCTTACCATGGTTCACAAGAGACGCAGTCATGACCTCGTTCCAGGCCAAAGCCCGTGACACCCATGCCTAACACACCAGCAACAACGTAGGCGTTGTTCAAATCGAAACATCCAACCATATCACGTTCTATGGGAAGTCTTGGACTCGACAGAATACGGTTTGCCCAATTACGCAGCATTGATTCACAATATTCACTTGGGAACACAGACGTAGCGTGGGGGCGAAAAGCTTAATTACAGCTAAAGAAGACATGGCCCCGTCTCCCTAGTCTATGAAAGACTATCGTATATATACAATGAAACCAATTTCGCCTTTGTCGGACAGCGTATTTACTGCATGGCAGGGACCTTGATGGAGGCAATGGTCCAGACCTTGCCGCCCTCGCTGCTGGTAAGACCGGTGTAGACAGCACCCTGGCTGGAGCCGATGGTCTCGCCGAAGGAGGTATCCGCGTTGGAGAGGGTGATGACGGTGTTGGCGTAGGTCTGCTCAGCAATGGTACCGGTGCAGCCGTCGTTGCACTCGGTGCCGGTTCCGTAGCCCCTCATGAAGGGTCCGGACTTGTGGTCGAGCGAGCTGATGACCTTGCCGGAGGACACGTCCGTGACGGTCTGGCGCCAGGTGTTCTGGTCGGACTGGAGGGTGTAGTCGATCTTGATGGCCTGGTCGCCCTTGACGGGGGCGGACGTCTCGCTGTCGATCTGGCCGAACGAACCGAAGACGGAGGCGCGGACGCACCACTGGCCGCTGGTGGCACCGCACCAGCTGTTGTCGGGCCAGGACTCGAGGGTCGTCTGGATGAGGTCGCCGGTGCCGTTGGACATGCCGGGCCAGAGGAAGAGGACGCCGGCCTGCGTGGGGGGGGCGGCGCCGGGGGT